AAAAATTAAAAAAAAAAAAAAAAAGGAAAGGAAATTAAAGTCCAACTTGCTGATTTCTTGTTTCTCTGCCGTCTGTGTGAGAAAGTCCTGTTTGGCCTTGCTGTCCCCTTCCACCCCCCCCAAACCCTTCCCCCAAACCCCACCAGCCACTCAGCATTTCACAAGTCCTTGACTCCTCAGAGTCCCTGCGCCTCCCACAGCTCCAGGCCTACACCTTCCCTCACCGCCCCTTGGATTCTCCGTACGTGTTGCGCAGCATGGAGACCATCTTCTCCTCACACGTTACTTTGGTGTCTTTTAGGATGCTGTACCAGACCATGCCGGGCGGCCGGACTTCTTCGCTGCGGCAGAACAAATAGGGCATGGTTTCAGTGCGGCTCTGGATATAGGCACTGCGTAAGAGGGTCGAGCAGTGACTGCTGACTTTCTCCAGCCTCCGTAGGATCAGGTGTGCTTTCCTGGAAGGGAGAAACAGAGCTAGAGACAGAGAAGGGAGTGTAATGAAAAAACTAGGAGCCAGGACTCCTGGGTGGCCCCGTCTTGCAACAAACAAGAATGAAACCCGTTGCCTAAGCCATTGCCTTTCCTGTTTTAGGCAGAGAGGAGCTGTTTTGCACCAAAAGTTTGTAGTATATCTGCTATTTCACAGCACCAAACAACTGCTGGAGACAGGACACAGGGCTGGAGGGACCTCAGGCCTGACCCAGTGCAGCAGGTCTCGTTGAAGCCTGGGTTCGCCGTCTGCAACTCTGGCTGCAGGCATCACCACAGCCGTATGCCAGACCCCCCACTACACCCTGCCTCCTGGCCTGTGGCACCCAGAGGAGACCCCCTCAGCACCGTGGCTGCTCCCCTGCCTCATGAGCACAGCCCTCCCTTGTGTATGTTCTCAAGTCTTCAGGAGGGAAATGACCCAAAAGGACCAACGCTAGAAGAGTGAGAAAGAAAAGCACAACACATTAAGACAAAACAAAATAAACCCGTAAGAAACCAAGAATCCCCCTCGTGGGAGTCTGCAAAGTGCTAAATCAAACAAAGGGAGGGGAAGAGGGTTTACTTCAGTGGTCTGAAAGTCTCAAGATCACAGATTATTTCCTCTCCCTCTGGTGCCACAGGAAAGCTCTGGATTTGGGGTTAGGGGATTTTGCAGTTCCTGAAGGAATGTAAATTCCCGATAATGGTATGTCAGGGGCAGCGCTGTCAGTCAGCGAGGCATAAACATGGGGATTATTTGATTATGAAAGCTTTATGGTGTTTCAGCCTGGATTGTGAGCTCTACGGTCAGGAGGGAGCGCAGCTATTTCTGATGTGGCTGCACACCCAAAGGCATCCCACTGATTGAGATTCCAAGGAAGGACTCGCCATGAGTCATCAAAGCATGAGCTCCAGACCAAAGTGCAGAGACGGAGGCAAGGCAAAAGGGCATTCAGGCATCCACCTCCAGCTACGAATCCCTCCCTCTGAAGCGGGAAGACTGGATGAAAGGCTAACAAGCCACTGCCCCATCAGAGCTGCTGCGCTCAGAGAACTACCCTTCTCCTCCCAGACAAATACGGACTCTGACTCCTTTTTCCAGGGGAAGAGAACAGCAAGGGAATTCACCCTTCTGGGATAATGCCAAGTCTGAAGGTGGTGCACGTGTATTGGTTTCACATACAAAGGTGAGCCTGAGTAGGCAATTTGAGCCTCATTACCCATTACCTATATACACACATATATACACACGGATACTTGACCGTCTAGACCATCTGTTGCTCCCACTGAAGGTCAAGATATGCAACACTGCCAGGAACAGGTCCTGTGGTGCCGGATGTCCGTTGCTGAGGAGTTATGAAATTGCACTATGGAATTGGATGTTTTCAACAAAGATTGATTGATTAAAGCTCAGCTCAGCAACAAACCAAAGTCTGTGGTGATTGTCACCAGGGTAAAGCCAACAAACTTCAGAAAATCATAGTCACTGGTGCTGGAAGGGACCACAGAAAATCATCTGTTTCATTTCCTTGCCAGGATCAACCTGCCCTAGTGCTTCCTGATAGACGTCTGTCTAATCTATTCTTAATGCCCCTGATGAAGAAGAGTGTGTCTCTTCAGGCACCCTTTGCAGTGCTTAGCCCTCGTAATGCTGATAAATTGTTTCTTAACATCTACTCTGATTCTTCCTTCCTTCAGTGAAAGCTGAGCAAGCACAAGACTCACGGTCACCTCATAGGACTGATGTTTATGCTAGTTGACAGTGCTTGAGGGGAACGCATTCGGTCAGAGCTCCTCCTACTCCAAAAAAACATTGCTGAAAGTCAAAACTGATTTCATTTCAGTGGGTTCTATTCTTTTTAAAATTTGCTATCCCTTCACTATGTATTTTTAAATCTGTTTCTTACTGTTTGGAGATGATTCCCTAACAGAAGGAAAACACAAATGCTGGTTATTTTAAAGAGAAGGTGTTCTCTTTTTTCTTGAAAACATTAGAGGGAATAGAGCCCACAGAAGCACATCCATGCAGGAGGTCTGACCGGGGCATCCTACGGAGCTAAGCATGCTGTGCACAAGGCAGAATGGGGAGGGGAAGGAGGAGGCCTGTAGTGGGGCTGCGGTGGCACCAAGGAGATGGTGCTGAGCACTTTGGTCTGCCCGGCTGGTCAGGCAACGGAGCCCTGGCTTGAGCTGCCACCCCACAGAAAGCAGGCTGTGAGGGACAAAGCCTCCCTGTACAATGGAGCAGGGGTGCTGACTCCAAGAACATGTGATGCAGCAGATCTACTATTGTCTCTCCAAGGCCATGGCTCCACAGTCACTTTTATTTAACATATAAATCATTGCTACTGCTACAAGAGAATATTTCTCCCTTACCCAGCTTCCCCCTGCCCATTTGCTTGTGCTGAGCAGGTGTTTTGGTGGCTGAACACTGTGCCAACGCAGACAATGCGCTGGTCTGAAGGCCAGCCCAGCAACCCCCTGGCTTTCCACCTGCATCAGTTCCCCAGGCTTCCCCACCCAGTGGCCAGCGCAAAGAGGGGAACGGCAATGAGGAGCCACGACCAGCACTTGAGGCATATCACCGTGGTGGATAACTGCAACCTGGCCATAATCTACCTCAAATGAAGCCTCAGTTCCCCAGCATGCGCCTACGCCTGCACCTGGGTAAAGCTCTTCTCTTTTTCTCTGCCCTTCTCATTTCTCCATTCTTCTCCCCTCTTCACCTACCTCTCACTTTTCTCCTGCTCATTGCTTTCCCTTCCTTTCCTCTGGCTGTCTCTGCCTTCATAGGTTCACTAGTCTCTCTGCCATACTCCCATCATCTTTTAGATACTGCGAAAAATGACCACGTCCTGGCTCCCTGGTACGTATAGAGGTCTCTTGTGCAGCTAAACGTTCCCACGTGTGAGGAACAGCTTGCGGCAGCAAGACGTCCAAGGGTAGAACCACTCAGAGCTGCTATGTCCCACTGGCTGGAGGCTGGGCTTTTTTCGGAGCTGGTCTCAGTACACCTGCTGCATTTGCAGTTATGCTTGGTGCAGTCGGCCCCAGGAAACAAGTGGTGTTTAAAGGTGGGAAGCAGCATACGATGGGCTGGCCTTGGGAGGATGCCGACTACACAGCATACCGTGGACAAGAAGACAAGCTGACGAGGAGGGAAAGAATCAGGTCCCTCACTTTTGGTATCCTCACACCAGTGCCAAAGCCCCAGTTTGATGGGTTTCGCCACTTTGAGACTGAGTCATTTATTTTAGTGGGGTAATGAAGTCATGTGTAACTGTTAGATTTAGCTTTTGGCCGTCAGCTGTTCCCTCTTAAAAAAAGTAAGAGAGAGAAAGAGAGAGACAGAGCGGGCGAGGGGAGGGGTGAGAAAGAGAGAGAAGCTTTCTGGTGAAGGCTGGTAATAAATTAAAGGAGCAGTTCTTGGGCTGCCAATTTAACGCCATAAATCAAGCCCTGGGTATTACCCAAGTGCTCCCTGCGGAGGGCTGTCGGGTCAGAACGACCACCTTTTCAAATACTGGAAATGAAATCTTCCTAAATGCTGACCACCTCATCCCTGCCAGAAATAGTAATTTATTGCCTTATTAAAGGGCAGGAATCAGGAGAAGACGGCAGGGGAGCGCGGGGGGAGTCACTCCCATGGCTGCCCGTGGCCAGACCTGCCCTTGTTCTCCAGGAAGCCTCCGTGCTTTCTACCCATAAAGGGATGAAGCAACCCTCCTCCTCCTCACCCCGTAACCCTGGCCTGAGTCCGAAGTGTCCCTGCCTCGGCATGAGCCAGCGGGTGCCCACCCAGCCTGCCACGCTGCAGGGGCAGTTGTTTTAAGTCGGCGCCAGCCAGGGACTGATTCTGGTCTCCATTTAAGTGAAGGATTTAGGAGGTCACAGCCGCTGTCATAAATGATGAAGAGGGGGATTAAAAATAGTGACTGCTCTGCACGGCTGCTTCCCTCTCCAGTACCTCGTGGCAGCAGAGTGCGAATGGGTGGGGGAGAGAAAAGGGGAGGGCAATGAGTGTCTGCTGTGGGGGCACTTTGCAAGCGCTTATGCCTTAATTAAAGGCACCGTGGCAAGAAAGTGTGGTGCAGTGGGGACAGCGCGGGACGAGGCCTTGAGACTCCTGGTTGCTAGGCCTGGCTCTGGAAGGGCAGGTAGAAGAGCAGGAGACACGTTACCTCCTGCTCTGACCAGAGCCAGGTGTTCCCTCATGGAGGGACTTCACCTTCCCCTGTCCACGTTCATCCCCCAGCTGCCCTTATCCAGAACTTATCCAGAGCCAGCAAAACGCTGCCCTACCTGACCGAGGAGAAAGTCAGGAGACCATGAAGAAGCAGGTACCTGGGCTGGAGGGAAGGATAAGCTTCCCAGGGCTGCTGCAGGGAGAGGGTGGCTGCCTGGCTGCTGTGTTCCCATAAGGGGTGATTTTGTCATAAATTCAGATTTTCCACTCTACTGAGAACTGACCTGGGTCTGTCAGACCCTCGGCTGGGAGGATAATGAGTCCGGGACTCGATGGCCTCTTATCACCACCTCCCATCAGTACACTGCATTCCCCCTCGGTACCAAAAGGCAGCTGCTCAGGAGACCGTGCACCGCCGAGGATATTTGTCTCCTGCTGCTGCCGTGGCCTGCCTGCCCAGGCGACTTGCTTAAGAAAGGGAGAGGCTTTGAGCCCTGGGCTGATTCCACATCCTGACCTGGTCGTTTCTGGTAGCCAGAAGTAGGGGCATGGAAGGAAGATTTTAACTCTCCTGCTTATTTCTCCCTCCTCCTCCTGAAAGCCAGGACCTGTTTGCAGTGGTTGTAAGAATAATACATAAGAAAAACTAATAAATATCCTTGTTGCTGTGTCAGGAAGCACTGTTGCTGAATAGATCCAAAGATCTGAATGTACAGTAGCATTAAACCTTCACTGGTTTAGACAAATTCTTCTGCTCTGTTGGAACAAATTAACTCCGCAAGATTCACTTAGTGTCTGTAAGGGGAGCAGGAAAGGGGTTGTTGTTGCTACAGGAGACTAGGAGGACAGAGCAAGCCAGGTGCCAAGATGCTGCTGACCACAGAAAGTCCTGGTTTAGGGCCACCTATGAGCTAAGTTTTTAATGTCTCCTTAATGTAAACCGTCTGGCTGGGACATCTGGCTGTCAGTGTGTCTTCTCGCAAGCAGCTGTTTGCAGTAACCTGTGGCTTTCATGGAAACTGGGCTCACGAGGACTCCAGTGTGATGTATTTATTACACGGAGGCAATCAACCTCCCTCTTGTCGCTCAGTTTTATGAGTGAGCATTTACTGTGATTCTGAGGCTCATCTGATGAACATTTCAAGGTACCAAAATGAATGTCCCCTTGAGAAGGACAGCAGTCCATCAATTAAAATCGTGTTACGAGATGGTCTCCCTTGGCAAATCCTCACTCGCCTTCCGCTTCGTCAATGCCTTCGTTTCTGTCCAAGCAACCTGAGAAGCAAGGCTGGACGATGGAGCTTCGTTCTTGTCAAGAGCCTGGCACAGGCTGCGGCGGCATTTATAAGCGTTTCCTCTGGGCTGTAAGGCACATACTTCTCAAGTACGTAACAGGGACATGTGAACTCTGCTAGATCATCTGGCTGGCTGTGGAAGGCAGACCGCAGCACAATCAACCACTGACTACAAATGTCACTTGGTATACAGTGGGGCAATACAAGCAATTTAAATGTCACCTTGCAAATGTCTTGGCTTGATGCAGGTATCAGGCCAGATAGCATCCTTAAATAAGTGTGTTGGATCTCGAGCAATGGAGGAAATAAGGACATGTAAGAAGAGGCAGATGGCCCCCAGCAATTTATAGAGAGGAACAATTAAAAAGGACAAACAACTCTGCAGTGTCATCAAAGAAGGAGGAAAGCGGTGGGAAGCGAGAGACAGTGGCTGCCTGTCAGAGGTTAATGACCTACCAGAGAAATTACAACCAAGGTCATCTCTGTAGGAGGCGAGCCACAGGCTAGCCTGGATTTATGTCCAGGAGGAGTGAAAACTGTTGTGAGGAACTGTCATTCTGGAATTATGGACAGATCCTCAGTTGCGTCCAACAAGCAGGTAGGAATGGGGGAGAGAGAAGGAAAATCTTTTCCAATTATTCACGGACGGCAGTTAATCATCCCATCTTACTCCATTCCTTCATGTTCCTCTTTTTCATCTTTTCATAGAACAACGTGTTAGACAGGATGCTGGATGAACAGTGTCTGTAAAAGCTTCAAAGCAGGTCAAGGCTATCTGAAACCTGTAAGAGACCTCAAGATAAACAGAGAGCTACGGCTTCTTCTGAACATAGCTTACTGAATGTTTCCCAAGGGGTCTTAAGGTTATATGGCAGTCTGGCAAAACAGCCTTTGCCAGGACACTCTGCCATCCCTCTGGATGACATGTAGTCCACGTACGTGTTACTCCATTGCTGTCATCTCTCAGAATCTGCTTGTTAACCATTTCACTGTACGCCAGCGGCTTGCCGGCACAATTCTTCTGGAAATGTTCTTCTTTATAATCACAGATACAATCCTTTACCAGCCCTCCTTAGAGCATGAAATTTACAGTACAGAGAAAACATGTCTAGTGTAAGGTTGCATATAGGTAACAGATGAGACATTGTTCCCTCACTGGCATCCCTGCACGCTGTCAGGCACAGCACAGTAGAAAAATTTAAGAAGACCTTTCTAATGCCTACATCAATAGGGCTGAATGATCTGTCAGGTCAGATATACAGAGAGAGAAACAAATAGAAGGAAATTTCCGTGAAACATACTATTTAGTAGAGCAAAATACCATATACAGATTGCTCAATCATTGATCCCCTACAGACAAAAGTAATACTCTGTAAGTTAGCATCTCAGCTCTGCCATTCTAGGAGATCAAAACTGTTTTCACACAAGAATAATCTTCCTGCATCAGGATATTTGCATTTAAACGCATCCGCAACAACAGGATGTAGTAGGTGCCCAAAGCCACACCTGGGGTGGGCGGTCTTCTGCTCTACTGTCCATGAGGAATAACTGTCTAGGTGTGGAGACAGCACAGAGAAGGATCTGTCCCACTGGGGTACTGGAGGTTGTACCATGTTCCCTGACACGAGTGGGCTCCATCCAAGACCGTCTATGGGACGTCCTGCTACTCTTCATTAGTTGGCTCTTTGCCATGTATAAATACAACAGGATAAGGACGAACTTGGTATATGCCTGAAGTATCTCCATGGGCTATCGCTCTCTCCGTATTGCAGCTTTTGATACCAAACGCATGTTGCTGTACACATCATTCTTACTATACACGTACCTGCTGCATTTTTGCTTCATTCCCTCAGTCACTCTTTCCAGCCACCCACCCTACAAATAATCAGGGCACCTGTGAATCCTAGAGGAGCCACTGTCTTATCTACCAAGATTTTACAATTGAAGAGGATCTGAGTGAGACCTGGCTTACACGCAGCCCATTCACTCTGTCCCTGCCTAATTTATGACCCTGGGCCCTCACACAGCAACGCACTCAGCTCCTTATTTGCAGTATCGTCTGCTTTGCTCAGAGTGGTTTCCCACACAGCTGCTAGACTTCCCATAATTATTCATCCAAACATTGAGCCATTCCTGAACGGGGGCTGGCAGTCACAGAGGACAGCAGGACAGTTTGGGGTACATCACAAGGGGATTTCTCTCAGACAGGAGGAGAAGGCAATTAGGTTCACTTCCGTAGTGATCAAACAGTGTAGCTGTCCAGCCAAGTAGCAAGGGAGAAGGAAGGGAAAAGACAGGTACCTGGGCCCCAGCTCATCCTCGCTGCGCCAGACGAAATCTCCAAATTTCTCGTAATGGGAGTTGTAGTGGTGCTGCACTCGGAAAAGCATGGAAGCGGAGACCTCCATCAGCGTGTTGTAGGCTGTCTGCTGTTCCTTCCCACTGGTATAGCCATTGTAGAGGTTGTAGATTTTGTCAGCTATCTCTGAAAAGGATCCGGGGGACAGAATTCAATGAACAGACAGATCATGCTAACACAGGAGAGGGAGGAACGAGTCCTTAGCGGGGCTAGCAGGTGGGGAGGGTGGCTGGGATGGTGGCCTCCCCCACCCTTCCTCGCATGCTGCCTGCAGCAGCGTTCAGTAACCTGCACAGTGTTTAGCAAGTCCTCTGGCCAACCCTGCAGCGAGTGGCCTGCGCTGAACGGAGCCCCAGTGACTCCAGCAACACTGCGAAAGAACGGGAGGAGGAGGGGAAGAGAGTTGCTGGCCAAGAACCACCGGCAGACAGAACCTTACCTGCCCAATTAAGACAGGCAAGCTCTTCCCCAATTCACCGAGAAGAAAATAATTGCACAGTGATGATGCTTTCCTGCAGCACGGAGGATCGGGGTTGTACCCTCAGAAGTCCTACTACACAAAGGACTGCAGGACCAGTGAGGACACGGAAACACAAGGAGAGCTTGGCAGTGAAACTGGGTGAATGAGGGATGCTCAGGCCCAGGGAAACTATTGAGAAAAGATGGCAACCAGCAGGCTAGGAAGGGCAAATAAGTTGTTCGGTGAATCAGGTCCCATGATTTATTAAAGGACAGGAAGAAAATGACATTGCCAATAACAAGATGGTAATTTAGCCAGAAATGCATCGAATCATCGTTATGGATATCTAACAGAGCAGCTCAAAGATTCGTTGAACAAGACGGTGTGCTTTCTGCTGTAAAAAAGGATCTTCTTGGAAATGAAAAAGGCACAAAAAAGCATTTCCTTCCTTTTCTTTAGTCTCATTTTTGCTCATTTTTCTTATCAACAACCTTAAACAAAGCATTATTCAAAACTTTCTTTTGTTTGCTTTAAAAAAAGAACAAAAGAATTAAAACAGGTAACCTACCTTTCATTTAGATGAATCTTTTTAAATTTAAAAGAGGCAAAACACTCAGGGAGTGAGGAATAGAAAAAATGGGATTTGTTTCAAAATTTGAAAGTGCAAATGTCCAAGCGGTCTAGCTTTTCTCTGTGATTGCATTTCAGAACCAAACCAGCTGCCACTGAAGTCCTTTCAAACACCCAACCCTGATAGTCTCACGCACAGCTCTCACTCCCTCGTCCCAGTCAGAGCCATTTCTCAGTCTTTTTTGCAGTAAGAGATGCGGACTCTCTCTCTTCTTCCAGGGGACATATGTAAGATGCACGTTAACACCTCCCATGGCCCTGCATGGGGAGAGATGCTGAGGTGCTGTGCTGCACAGGACCATGGTAGTGATGAGCTCTGCAGTCAAAGCGACTTTGCGAGAAGACCGACTTGCAATTTGTCATCCCTTTCCAGCATAATATCCCTGTGCCCTAATATATGGGAGCTTGCACACTGGGAGAGAGGAGAGTAGGGGAGTGCAGGAGTACAACGCATGCAGGAAAAGCAAAATTAACAGGAAATGGCTTTTGTCTTGGAAAACCAGGCGCCTGAACACTGACCTTCTGCCTTGCTGTCATCTACCAATGGGCAGGCTGTCCTTAGGGTGACTGTGCTCAGCTCTGAGTGTCTCCCTCGCGTATCCACTGCGTATAGGGTAAATCTGAAAGGCAGGAAAAAAAAAAATCATTTATCTTTATCCCTCAGTCCAACACTGGCAGGGTGTTATGGGAAACGGCCTTTAGAAGAGAAGAGAAAAATGTGGTCCAGGCTCATATCAGTCAGTTTTGGCAACACAAGGAGATACGAGACGATGTCAGGCTTCAACAGGCAAGAACCCAGGGAAAGGAGACAGGGCCATGGTGGCCCCACAACACTTGTGGAGCTGCTTTTCCCCTCGCTGTTAGACAGAGCACTACGGTTCAGGGGGCTTTACACTACAGCCTTGTGCCTGAGAAAGGACACAAACTCCTCTGGGGCTGCTTTGCCATGCACCGATGCAAACACTATAGTGCTGTGCCGCTTGCACATGGGGTTCCCCTATGGCCTGCCTTAAAGAACGGAGCAGTAATTCCTGCCTTAAGTAGGCACTGCGCTGACAACTGACAGCTCGTACACATCCTGCGAATGGCCCTTGAAGTTGTTTTTTCTCTCACTTCCTCACCGGAGTGGTGTTGGTAAAAGGGTGGGAATGACAATTTCACACTTGAAACTAATGGAGAGCACCTGACAGTAAAATATGGCTTTTGTACCAGATGAAGCACTGCATAAACAGGCTATGGCTGCATGGGATTCTCCGAGATGTTGAGCTGAGAGAGCCCCGGTCAGAATGTCAAAGCTTCAAACTGAGACTGCTTCGTAGCAGCAGGGATAACGCTCATCTGTCTACTCTGCCAAAAGGCATCGGTTCCTATTTATCCTGTCCAAGCCAGGCACGGCAACGCAGGCTGGGTTTGACAAAGCGCAGGAGCTGGTTCAAACACCTCGGTGGTCTGAGATGCCGGCGCTGGGCTACCCGCTTCCTGGGGAATAGCACAGCCCTGTTCCTTATCCTAAGGTAAAGCTGAGCAGCCCTTGCAAGTGAGTGCAAAGAGCATCATAAAAGCAGATGAAGCTTAAATGGGATTGAGAGGCTGAGGCATGTTTACTTAAAGGACTGATCCAAACTCCTAAGCATCAGCAATGGGGACAGAAGCAGTACCTCCCTTTCCCTTTTCCCCCACACATGCTCCTCACCAGGGATCAGCACACCACATGCAGCTGATAAGAGACGACATTTGCATGCTAACAACCGCCAGCACTTTCCAGCCCAGGATATACCCTCTCAGAGCAATTAGCGTTATTTCCCTAACAATCCTTCCTGTCTGAAAGGATGCCAAGGAACCCACTTGTGCGCAGGGACGACTCTCATATTCCCAAAGCTGGGCTGGGCAAGGAGATGCACGTGCTGAGCTCACGCAAGGAGATGCTTTTTCAATTCTTTTGTGTGATGTCATTTTCCTTAATTTGAAAGGAATGCTGGTCAGAGTGCGAGCATCCCACGGAGCAATGTTCACCCTGCCTAACTTCCCAAGCACAGCGCATAGGCCGTCCTCCTGCTAGAATTAAAGGACAGCAGTAGAGTCCTCAACAGAGCAATTCTAGCTCAGGGCAGGAGTCGAACTTTGGTGCTTCGTGTCTCCTTCTGGAGGAGACGCCCTCCCTCTTCCTTTTTGAATGGGGATTTAAGGTGACTGGCCTCGAGTCTCCTACTGTCAGCAGGTAAGGCCAGAAACCAGTGTCTAGTGGTGACTGAGGGGAACCCTGACCTAGCCGGATGGGATGACTGTGGGAGCCACAGGAGAGCTGAGCAGAGGACCCAGGAGTCCTGCTGCCCTGGCCATGCACTAACTAGCGGGCAATGCTCTTCCTGCCTCGACAGAAACACGACAAGCTGTTAAGAGGAACTAATGAGCATATTTCTTCTGCTAGCTGATCTCCACTCCCACCCTGGGGTCACTTGCGTAGTTAGTCCCTATGTTTCTGTTGTTGTGTTTTCTTTTTTGAATATATGCGCACAGTTAATGTGCGACCTCTGCTCTGACCATAGCGGTTCAGTCCGTGAGGCTCCATTAGCTCGGGGGTAATCAGTTTCAGAGCACTTCTCCCAAAAATAGCAGAATTTTATCAAAATACAATTGTAATAGTCTGCAATTAGTGCCTAATCACCTATGCGATTGCCAATGGGGTCAGGAGGGAAGCATCTCCGCTTGGCAGGGAGTTAAAGCACATTTCATCCCTTTGGATGATGTTAAAGACCTGTGTTAGCCTCCTGACCGCACTTTTCCCTGCTGCCCAGCGCATACACGCAAACAAAGTCACTCAGCTGCCAATAGCAAGAGTGTTTGCAGCGGTCAGGGCTGGGAGCGAAAACATGGCAACAAACAAGCCCTTCACTTCATCATTGTCTCGTATGACATTTTGAAAAAAAAAAATCAAATCCCAAATGGAAAAATATCAATATCAAAGTGATCCTGATCTGCTCAGAAAGAAATCTTTTACCTCATCTGAAACTAGTCTTCCTTCAAAAATTTTGCAAATGTAGGGAAGTTGTAAATTTCCATTCATTCTCAGTGAGAGACATTTTGAAAGCGGCACCAATAGAATCAACTTTTTGTTGGATGCTGGCAGCCCAGTAGTATGCAGGCAGCCCTTTGCACCTCTTCAGCTTCTTCCAGCTGGTGATCTCAGAAGGTTTTAGCATTAATTACGGTCCAAAAGATCACCCTGAAGCACAGCAGTCATAATAGCTCTTTTTTATCAACGGTAAACAGAGACATATGGGATGAAGCATCTTGCCCAGGAGAGACTTGGCGACATGAATGGTTTGGAAACGCAGAAGATTATGGCTTTCCAATCTCATTCTCAAACCACTTGGCCACCCAGCCTGTTTGTGGCAAAACACATTTACAATCAGTTAATCTCAATGCACAGAGTGCTGTCGTTCCCCCCCCCCCCCCCCCACACCACCGTCATCACAAAAAAAGAGAGAAGAGAGTGTGAAGATCTACGGGTCAGCGTAAACCCCACGTCCTTCCCTCTTCAGTCACAAAATGCGAGCATGCCCAAGGCACAAGATCTGTCCATCTAAGACATGAGAGACCTTGAACTCTTGTACCGGTCAGTGGGCTGCCTTGGGTGGAGGAAAAAGCAAATGGGAAAAGAGAGAAATGGATTTTCTTCCTTTTCCCATCTGCCTTGTAAAGTTGTTTTTTTCCTGGATTTGTTTTTGATGGGAGGGAAGGAACAATCTGAAAATTTTATGGGACTTTTACTTTTTTGTAAAAATTTGTTTTTGAGACAACCTCCCCTTCACTCCATTTATCCTTAGAAGCACAGGGAGGAAAAAGCATCTCTTGGAAGGCTTTATTTTAAACAGTGGCCATTCTTCAACTTTTTTCAACCATATCGAGATACTAATTGCTTTCTTTTCTTTTCCTAGCGCACCAAGCCGTCCGGACTGCAGGGAGCAGACATCGCGGGCAGACTGCTTCCCCCGTGGACCCTGCTCTTCCTGCCCAGCTCCTCATGCGGGGCCTCGGTTTCATCCCCCCACGACTCGGTTTGACACGTGCCTATCTGCCACTGTCGCGCCGCTGCCTGCTCGGCCAAGGCGCTGCGCCGCTGTGGCAAAGAGCAGCCCGGGCGCGTTGACGGAGGGCTCCTACTTACTGCTTCCTGGAGAAAACTCTGGCAGACGTGGACAGAGTCGCACCTGATTACACAAACCCTGACACTGGCCCTTTGGATAATTTGTAACGAAAAACGAGGCCAAAGAGTGGTTCGGAGCCTTTTGCCCAAGGCAAAGGAGCTCTGAGGTAAAGTCAAAGCTAGAAATCAAAAGGTCCCAGACCTACACTCAGTGCATGAAATCACATCAGACAACCGGGAATGCCATATGGTAGCTAATATCTAGCAGAGAGTCTTTCATAACCTAGAGGTGTTTGGTTAAGCAATAAATTTTCCCCGATATGCTTTCTCGTGTTCTCCCTGTGTTTTCCAAAGGAGCTTGTGGCTACCTGCTACTGTCTCACATCTGAGCCTCTTGTTCACCAGTGCTCTTAGTAAGATCACATGTGAAATCTGCCTTCACAGAAATACTAAGAAATATTTTGCCCAAAGGGGTTCCAAGGGGCGTTTCACCACTGGAAGCACAAACACTCTTGGCAGCGAGCAGCCCATCCACGCAGCCGCCTCTGCAGCGAAACACAGCAGCTATGGACTGTCATATAAAGTAACGCTGCTTAAATGTTTACTACTACATACAAACCTACTGGGACCAGCAGGAACTTTTAGAGAGATAGAAAGCAATTAATATGTGGCCTCATGAAATGTCAACAACACCTTTCTCATAGATACCCCACCCAAAGCTGGCGAAAGCCTGGATTTTATCACTAGGCTCAAGATACTTCTTAGGGAGGAAGAGAAAAAGCAGGGTTAAGCTTTGGTTCCTGCAATCAAGTGATTGTGGAAGACTCTCAGTTGCATTTATGAAAACAAGGGAAAAAAATCCGTAACAATATGTTTCTAGCCTTTTTCAATGCAGAGAGAGGAAAAAAAAAATTCCAAAGGCACAAAACTGTAAAGCTGAGAATGAAACCCCAGAACGTGTTATTTATTTAAAGACAATAACACCGGCTCATGTTTTTTTTAACTCCATCTCATGATGCTCATGAAGTTTGAGTGCTTTACTCATGATCCTTATTTGTGGGGAGGGAGATAAGGACCTCTGCCTCTAAGAGCTGACTTCCCTTAGCTCGGTGGCCGATCTCTTTACATCCTACAGAGACGTTGCAGGCATTTCTGTTTCTTTCTTGTATCCTGTCCTTCCTGAGCCTTCAGGCTTCCGCAGCTGGTCAATGAGATGCAGTATCACAAACAAGCTGCCTGGGCTGCAGGCAAAAGGGTCCAACAAAGAGTCTAAGAAACACTCCTCCCAGCTGCTGGACACCCGTGCTAAGTAACCGAGTATGTCCGTGAGCAGCTTGCTGCACGCAATCTGCGGCTATGAGGCAAACCCTGACCGTGCTAAGGGGGACCCCGCACCATGCAACTGGGGGACATGGCAGAGATGCTGTTCTAGCTGCACGTCAGGGTTCAGCATCATGCAGAAATATTGTCTCA